TTTTCTGGGAGGGGGGAGGGTCGTGCCAAGACCTCGACTTCAGGGGGGGTCGGACTTCCGCGAAACGTCCTCGACACGATTTTCACCCTGACGGGGAGGGGAGGAGGAAATCAACCGTCATGCCATGATTATGGCGACGCTTTCTACTACATGAAACTCCTTTTGTTGCATACGCGTCACTTCCACGAGGTGTTGGTGTCACAGGAGGAAGGGACCATAGCGGAGGATAGAAAGCTTGCGCAGGAAAGGAAGGTCCCGGCGGTTGACGGGGGACTAATCTGGTTATATGGAAAAACAGAAGAAACAACTTGGGAATAAAGCTGATTGCAGTTCGTAACTAAAGGATTCCTCAAGCCAAAATGTCATTGGAGCAGGCTATGCACCGCAATGCCCCCCCTTACCGAAATAGACCCGAAACATATAAAAACATTATTTTTATTTCTACTATTGCGCTTAAAGCCACAAATGCATCAATCATTGCCCGTTGATGTCAAGTAACAAACAGCGTGGCGTCGAGTAATTGGAGTGGGCGCTTGACGAACGCACATGTGACACGCGACAGCCGCGCTGCGCGCAGTTCCCCTGATTTAATGTGCTCGGGCAAGGATCAAGAAAACGGGTTCCGAGGCCAGAGAATGAGAAAAAAAAACTTCCAACCAATTCGTGATCGAATCACCTGTAGTGAAGTACCGCAGCATGAGCAAGGTCTACTATCTTACCCAGCAGAGATAGTGCAGCGAATGGCGCAACTTACCGGGCACACTGTCCGGAGTGGGGGATCCTCAATGGTCCTGCCGCGATGAACAGAGCACAGACGATAGAGAATGCCCTAGGACTAAGCCTTGGAGAGGAGAGGGACCCATTGGAGAGCGCAGAGGCGGTAAAGGGCTGAGTTCAAGTAGTCCGTCAACCGAGTGGAGGAGAGGGGGTAAAACCCTGATTGAACCTATACCCTACAAACTTCCCGTCTTTCCAGAGTCGCCCAATTTGAATCAGACTCATCTCAGGAGATACCTACATAGACTTTTACATTGACTAGCCCCCACACGCCACTGTGTAGACCAGGCTTCACCATTCAGATACCACTGCAATTCTCAGTGAAAGTAGGATGCGTGGCGCATCGGAAAAGAGATTTATCGATGCCTATTGACTCGGGTATGGATCGCTAGAACCAAAAAGCGACTGTTTCGCTGTTATGCGAAATTTCCCTCCAGGAACCCCAGGTCCACCCGACGCCAGGGGCGGTATTCAATCCTTCCCCCAGGGGGATATATCCCCCTACTCTGATTCAATCCTCTGGGGGGACAAAAAAGGGTTGCGTCATAGGACCTAGCATACCTCTGTGTTTCTACCTGCCAGACAGTTAGAGCAGCGCGACCCCTCAGGGAAAGAGTGCTTCATCAGTGGAGGGTAGTAGCGCTGCTCTAACTGTCTGGCAGGTAGAAACACAGAGGTATGCTAGGTCCTATGACGCAACCCTTTTTTGTCCCCCCAGAGGATTGAATCAGAGGAGGGGGATATATCCCCCTGGGGGAAGGATTGAATACCGCCCCAGGATTGCACCTGGGGTTCCCGCCACGAAGAAGTTTAGCGCCACAAAAAGGGAAAAAGACAGTTTCCTGTCCCTGCCCCACGCCCAAAAGGCTCCACTATTCACTGCATTCCACTTCTATTTTCAATCACAACGTCATTACGGCGAGACCAAGTAAACCGTTCCTCGGACAGAAATTCCACACGGGAATCGCATTTGTGACGTTAGAAAAAAAAGGGGGATCGCATCCGATTAATGGGCATTGTATCTCTAAACCGAACAAAAAGAACTTTTTTGGGAATAAGAAAGATTTTTACGGAATCTGACGAGATGGGCAACTTCGTAATTGTTAGCTTTTCATACATCATAAACTGGTCCCGCCGGTCAACGGGCTTCTGTGGTGGGCTCAGTGGGTACAATTGAACCCAATGGTCCGGACTTACGAGCTACCATGACAAACACCTCACTGTGCATGGCGAAATCGCCGATCGCTTGAAGCAGTGTTTGGCCGATGTCAGATTTTGCGAATCCAACGATTCGCTAGCGAATCGCGATATACGCAAAGTCTGACATCACATTACTGAACCTCTGCGTATCGGACCAACAACGCAACCCTTCCTACCATGGTGCACCAGTTCAACTCCCCCGTCTGTAGTTTTCCTCCAGCTTGGCATCCCGAGATCCCCAGCAGTACTGCTCCAGCAGCAAAAAAATCGAAAAATAGTGCGATGGGTTCCGTAGCGTGAGCCCTTAGCCGATCCTTCGGCATGGGATGTCACGTTTGTCAATGATAACTCATACTCGGGCTCCGGTAGTGGTCCTGCTCCCGATTTCTCCCAGCGTGATGTTCCTACCATGGAACTCATCGATGGTTCTGACCACTAATTAAGGACTATAAATGACGAAGCTTCCAGGCGAAGACACGTGAAAATAGAAGCAAAATGCGAACGGATAGAAAGGTCAACTGCATGAAGATTCGAAAAATTTACAGAAATCACGAGGCCTGGGCAAATGGCAACGCGCCAAAAAGGCCACGCCCTCCTGGCTGTGCGCCAGATGTGACGTCGTCCATAATTGCGTGAAATGTTGAAATGTTTCAGTGCATTTCGATATACAGCTGCAACTACGGACGTCATAACGTTGGGCTGTAATCGTTATAGTTCGTCAATAAGACGAAAAAACGGGATGCGCCGCGCATTTCGTCCGCATCGAAAGCCACTCACACAATTGGGACCGTGAGATATACCTCTGCTTTTAGACGTGTGTCGAAGCGTGTAGTTCCGACTGCTATCTCACGAGGAAGGTCTTTCAAGAAATGCCCACCTTTCTCGGAACGTTTTTTTTGCATGATATAGGGGTACGACATGGAACACAGAACTGTAGTTCATTTTTCCTGAGCGGCCCTCTGAATACCAAAAAAGGGGTGATGAAGTGGTCCGTGGTTCGAATCCTCGCAGTGACAATTTTTTTTGCATTTTGTGTTGGCGTTTCAAAATTCGCGAAAAATAGCGTCAGCGGAAACAACTTATGTCATATCTATAATTAGGACCATCAGCAACCTTTATACGTAGACTTTGGCTAAAAACTGGTGAAGAAAGTTAAGAACGGCAGTTCCTTAAGAAATTTTCTTCGCTCCTTTTTTGGTATTCAGAGGGTCGCTCAGGAAAAATGAACCACAGTTCTGTGTTCCATGCACGTACCTCTATATCATGCAAAAAACCGTTTCGGAAAAGCTCGGCATTTCCTGGGAGACCTCCCTGGTTAGTGGGGGGAACCACGCGGCAGTGCGGCGTTGTGCTCGTCTGCTCCTCCAAGGCTTAGTCCCCGATCGCGAAACTCCATGTGATGAAGAAATAGTATCTGTCCCTGGGATTGTAAGCCTTGGAGGAGCAGACGAACAGAACGCCACGCCATCGCGCGGTCCCCCCCCCCCAATTGAGAGAGCACCTAGTTCCACAAATTGAAGAAAAGGACTTGATTTTGCGCAGTAAACTCGGAACGTCCCACAGTTGGCGGACCGCCCGTAACGATCGCACGCATCGGATACGTATCGATCATTCGGTCATCTGACACGTCCACTGGTGACGATCGGACGACTGATACGTAGCCAACGCTGTGCGGTCGTTACGATCAGACGAGCGACTATGAAAGCGAGAAAGCATACTAATTTTGTTACCTTTATATACTGTTCAAAGGGCGCGCGAAAACAAATCGCAGCACGCCTAATCGATATCAGTTAGATAACATTTACGTTATTTTCCTACCAATTCCAGACTGTTTCATTCACATGAATGACTGCAATCATGTTTTTTTTAAAGACGAACATCACATAAGAAATGAAAAATCTCATCTATTCGGGTGGTCGTCAAGTGCAGAGCTAAATCATTACAAAAAACACTTGAACAAAGGGAAAAAGAACTCTAAATCGGTCATGAATTAGAGAAAACCTGTCCGACTGACGTCCTTGATGAGAGTGGAAATGATGATGATGACGATCGACGCAAACCGGAGCTAGAGCGAGGCAGACTGAGTGCGAGAAAATGAGCGGAGGTAGAGCGCGAAGCAGAGAAGAGTTGAGGACACTGGGAGTGAACTGGAAGAAGGACTAAACTGTTAAATCCCCTGTCGCAGTGTTTTCACTATGAATAGGGAAACCCAGTGATAAGCATGTGACAGTCACACATCCCACTGATACGGTAGATTGGACTAAAGTGCGAAATTTCGAGAAAACACACCGAGTGTCGCGACGTTTTGCACTTTCGACAACGCATTTCGTCAACTTTGAATTACGAAATCAGCAGGCTACTCACCCACAGTGCACCACCTCAATCGGTGGTCCGCAAACGAATGGATAATACGGTAGTTAGTGGATGGCTTGTTATTTATTTACCCAATTCGTTCAATTACATTATTATAGCATATCTATAAGTACTGCAATTTGTGAAACTATGTCTATCTAGATGGATGGTACAGTTAAATCTCCCAACTTTCGCGAAATGAAGAGACTTCAACCTAAGGGATTCACTACTATCTGTTGATACGTTTGAGAGTTCATTGGCAACATTTCCTTGCACACTATTAAACCACAGCTCAAATTCGAATCCAATGTAGAAGAAACAACATGGGATTCTTTCCTAACATTAAAATTGAAAAAAAAAACCGTAGAACCAATAGGCATTGGGATAATAATTAGAATGAGTAATAAAATTTGAACATAGCAGAGAAACAGCAATCACATCATTACAAGAATGTACAGCCACACATTTAAATACAAATACAATTCAAGGTGTGTATAAAACAGTCATAAGTTCAAACATATCCTTTCGGGTGGTCTTTTTTCGACGCCTGTGCCGCCTGCTTGATAAGTCGACGCAAGGCCGGCTCATGTTTCTGAAAAGGAGCGCTGCGAGGATTATGCGGCTTCAATCCGCTCTTCTGAGTAAAGCAATCCTTTGTAGCCGCGAAGTGCGAGTTAGTTCGCTCAAGCAACGCCATAATTCGCATGTGATTGTTAACCGGTTACTCACCTCCACCGGTGACGCAAACTCGAGGAGAGTTGTGATAGTTCCATAGATCATCGAATAACTCGACGACGGGTCGTCAAATATTCGCTTTACAGCACGAAACGATCGTCGTCTAGTCTCTTTGGTCCCGTGATCTTTTATAAGTGTGTATGCAGGTCTTGCCAGCGAAATCCCTTAAACGCCAGTGATTTGTTCTAGAGGTCAGCCGTGTACACAAGATTCTGCCCAACATGCAGCTCATCAGAGACGGATAAAATTCTCACTGAACGACTCCATCAAGTTTCACAGACTTATTTACAGCAATTGATCTCATCATTCGCACTACATAAATCAGCATTGAAAGACAACGGTGGACAATGTTGCAAACGCACAGAGGTATGTATCAAGCGCGATAAGCGTGGTAGAAGCTCTTGGATGCCAGTGTCCCGTTCTAACGATTGCAGGGCTTGCTGTCGTTTCCGATCATCTTGGCCGACACAAGCTTCAACGATCTCTTTCAAATAAATTTTGCTGTTTCATAGCAACGGTTCCAGAAATGATGGTTTCACCAGTATTTGTTCCTTTTTGGGTATTCCTTGAGCAGCCATGCGGAACGAAACTGATGGCGCGGCGAGTTCAGCTGGGAGAGTGACTCTTTTCCTCAAAGCAGCTGGAAGATCGTAGAGAATTCCACTTCCTTGACTCGTCTTCTTTGCCTTCTTCTCTTGGGGTGGTTCTTCCTCGTTATCGACCCGTATCCAATGAACTCGAATGTGTCTCTTCACTGGAATTTTTGTTTGAGCAGGTTGCGAAATGGATTGCACATCAACGTCCATATCCTCGCGCACGTATAGCTGTTCCCCACCAGGCATACGAAGCTGTCTCATGGAAGGCTGCGGCCGCGTTAAAGCGCCTAATGGGAATCTGGAAATGTTCATCTCTCGAAGGGATATGTTGTACATCTTCACCTATCATAGTCTTTCGCGACATGTATTTGTTAAATTTATGAGCCAAGAGCGGAGCAACGAATGATAACACTTGACGTAATTGTTGTCAGCAAGGCACTGATAGTAGCGGCCGGGCCGTAAGGTTTTAAACAACTCCACAGATTATTCTGTCAAAAATCTCTCACGTATTGGGGGTTCTATCCGAGGGGGTAGCGACTGAACGAACGACGATGCGCTCGCGCTGTGGGCAGCCATTATAACTGTTTCATTGAATTGATTTTAGCATACAATATGACCGATATAGTCATTTCAGAAACCACTACACACAGCAAAAATAAGAGCGTAATAACAATTCGTTTCAATTACATTATCAATCCATTACTTACCAGTGCCGAAACGGTGGGGCAGTTCCAAAATAGCCTCTGGTTTCCACAGAATAAATATCCGCTCCCAGCCGGAAATCTGGCAGTGCATTCCCCGTATATTGAAAGGGGTTGGTCCGCTAGATCAGAAAGCTACTTTCGCTCTTAGCAGCGCGAAACATTTTTCGCTACAGTAACTCAGGTCTACCGTTGATTAACAGTGAACCCGAGGTCCCGCAGCGAAAAGTGTTCGTGCTGGCAACGCGCAAGTGGTTCTGTCTTGTGTAAAAAAACACCGTTGGGAAAATGTTTCAAATAAGATTAGTAGCTAAATCCAGAATATAAGAGAACTGCAGATGGGAAGGTAACATATAAATCTGTGACCCTGCGTGTTCAAGCCATGGTGGGCCAGTGTAGCAGGAAGAATTTAGGCAATGAAGATACTCCCTAACCTGCAACACGGATTCCCAATTCCGGCTTCAATTTATTACTAATGTCGCTGATCCTGGTAAATCTAGCGACACACTCACACAAATGACGCCGGTGAGACCTCGGTCAGACTCGGTGATTGCGTCGCCGTACACCAGCGACGGAGTCGCTGGTGTATGGCGACGCGATCGCCGAGTCTGGCCGAGGTCTGAGTATGTAACTGTTGTGATCCCAAATTCTACGTGTTCTCCCTGGTCCCTACCTAAGAACCACCAAAAATTCCACATGAGACCTCCCCCGCCTACGGAATCCCTCACCTTTATGAACTTACTGCTTCAGAGAACAGTGCGCGACAGCAGGAGTGGGCAAAAGGGCACAAGTTCAATGATTCCCGCGAAGTTTGGTCGTTTTAGCTAGCTTGTCATTCCGACGAAAGGTGTCGGTATTGCGTTTCGCAACTCTAGTAGACCCGATGACCCCTACGTTGGCGAAGGACACTGTTGTTGGTGCAGAGTGGCCTTTCACTTAAAGGCAAAGTTCGGGCTCAGACCCACCTAATGAGCCCTTAAAGTGGCTAGAAGCGCATGGGACGCAACTGCAGGCGACTCGCCAAAATCCCGCATCGAAATGCGTCACTAAGGCGCTAGGGGCCAAGGACTTTGACACGCTCCACCTGTTGCGACACGCTCCGCCCACCGCTCGATATTTTGTCTGCGTCGCAATGCTGATCTGCTATGCTCTCTCTTCTCGGATTTCTCTACCGCTCTCCGCGCTCACATTATCTCTCATCTCCCTGCCGGCCTTTTGAACTTCTCCGCAACGTAGAGCAAAAGGCTCGTATTTCCTGTGTATTTCACGAATTTTTTTCCTTTTTTCTCCACTGGCGGTCCACCTCCCACCCCTACATCATTTGAGTAGAATTACCTCATCAGTTTAAGCTTGAATCTTGCCTTTAAAGAACAATTGCAGTCGAATTCGCGGGGTAAAAGCGGCCGATAATGAAGTCATAGATGGCGAGTTGATTGATAATAGGAAAAAAAGCGAAGAAAAACGAGGCCTTTAAACAGGAGCGTCCCCTCTTCGCTTTTAAAATGAAGGAAGGGGCGGTCGGGCGAGTTGCCTGAATGGGTTTGCATTTCTTGGGGAAGCAGGAAAAGCGGCTGCAATCACGTTTGCCCTAGCACAAACAGAGACATAGGCATCAGTACAAACAAAAACATACAATAATTAAATGAGTCAAACAAGTAAAACCAATCGAAAAGACAGCATCAACTTTGAAACACGGGACAAGCAACCGCGCAAGGACTCACATCAAAGCACGCTTTCTCCACGGTTGCAAATCGTCGTCGCAACCGAGGTCCGGTCACCCCGCCTACTTCAAGAGCATTCGACTCCCTTCTAGTGACTTTTCAATGCGAGTTATGTACTTGTTATGTACTTGACTAGGGCTAGTGCATCTTTCTACCCCATTAGAATCGAATGGTCAAAACCCTGCTGGGACAGTTGCTTTAACTGCCTCCTTTATTGCACCAAATAGGGTCAGTTCCCAAGTTTTCACGCATCCATCCTAGGAGAACTTCTGTAAAGAGAGAGTTCACAATTAAAAGCATCCTATTAGAGTAAAGGTGGTGTAGGTCAGTGGTACACGAAAGAAGGAAGAACCATGAGAAACGGCCCAGAACCCGAGAAATGGACCCCTTCCTTGCCCGTTGATTTCCGCATTGATGCGACTCTCATCGGCGCTGCCCTCTTCAACTCTAGAGCTCCCTCCGCCGCACGGCTATATGCTCAGACGACGAGCAAGTGGGTGTGAGCGTCGCGTGAACGGTGCGGGGACGGCCATGATAGATCACCGGGAGCATATCCTTTGCTGCGACTAGCGCGTCGGTTCGCACCCTTATGGGGTTCACCTGTCTTTCCGATAACGAGGTTACACCTTTTTGGACCTCCGACCTTATCGTGGAATCCTCCTTTAAAGCAAGCAGTCCAGCAGGGTTTTACCTTCGACACTAATGGTGTGGAACGATGCGCTAGCCCTAGTCAAGAACATAAGAAGTGTGACTGAACAAAAAACTCACCTTGGAAAGCCGCTAGAAAGGGAGCTGAACGGCTTCGAAGTGGGCGTGGTTGAATCGGCCGAGGGATTGCAGCCGACAACCACGCCCACTTCGAAGCCGTTCAGCTCCCTTTCCAGCGGCTTTCCAAGGTGAGTTTTTTGTTCAGTCACACTTCTTGTGTAAAGGGGGGTAGGTAAAAACCTTGCTGGAACTGTTGCTTTAACCCACTTGGACATCTATACCTGAAACATTGGAAGAAACAGAAGGCACAAGTGGAAGTCTCAAACAGTTATAGGCTGTTGCGGACTACACGCCTAGCGTCTTTCTCTTCGTTTGGAGTACCTCCTTTTCAAAGGTGTCCAAACGACTTGAAGGCACATTATACGATGGGGCTGTATGGAACACCTCTTTCATGAATATGGTAGTCCACAACCAAGTGACGTCACTTTTACCGCTCAAAATCGCGTGACAAAGACACCAAGAGCGCAAACTTGGACTTCGGCTGCGAAGAAGAACACCTTGTGGTTGTGGGAGGTGCCATTAGGTCCATCCTTACGGTTCTCTATGAACAAAACTACGAAATGGAAACCTAACAACTATGACTGGCAACCAGGCATCGAAATTGTGACCGCCAATTGAGCCAAATTTTCTTGAAAAAGCACAGATTAGTGTGAAAAGGGACTGAACCACTCGGCATGTGCTCCTGAACAAATCTAATTGTTATCAAATGACTGGCAATTATCATTTCTTAGTCACATTACATCAAACTGCGATTTCTACTATTTCCCGAAGGTGAGCCTGTCGTAATTGCAGACGCAATGGTTAAACTGGCCATGGTCCCGAATTTGATGCTCTCGGTGCCATCTGATACCGCGCGTGTCACTGATCCCACAATTACGACACTCAGCCGCAGGAAACAGAGTTTTGCAAGATGGATCTTGCGCAAGGCCACGGATTAAGCAAACACTTCTTTGATCGAATGGCAACACATCTGTCTGAAACTCGGTATGTTTAGAAGACTTACGTACAACAAATAAACAACAAGGAACAGAGTTCAGCGAGATTTTCCGTAAAACACGGAATGCAGGGTAAGTCATTGCCAACACAACCAGAAATGAAGTTTATTAAGTACTCAACAAATAAATATATCTAAAAATACTGTACTTGGCTATTCTACCATGAACTTCTTCAAATAGGTGTGGTTTAACCGTAAAGTCGATGAGATCGATAGGAATGATTATATGATCAGACGGTGATCTTCAGCACACCATTCTCTCCCACCGACACACATCGCTCTTCGCTACCTGTGGATTCTTGCTCGATGACATCGTCTTCTCCGCTTCTGTGCAGAATTGACACGTCAACATCAACACCGCTACCCTGTAGCAAGGAATTTCACGCGTAATTTTATTTCTACTCGAATATATTAGTCTTCTTGCATTTGCGAACCTCAGCTTAATCAATATTTTTAGCGAAGTCTCGTCCTACGCACGTGACAAGTACGCGAGGCGGTCACTAAGACGATAAACTATCGATCATAAGGATAAAGGATAAAGCATTTGCCGTTGATCAATCCCTTTTTGGGATGCGGCACGCATTCTACTTCCATTTGTACATTCGTGGCGTTTGAATGCGATGTGGCCTATACAATGACTTGCGGGGCCAGCCGATGTACAAGTCAGTGTTTTTATCCTCCCAGACAAGTCTGGTACCAATTAACCGACCCCGGAGGGATGGAAGGCTTGGTTGGCCCGGGCGACTCACGACCCAGGATTTGATCCCGGACCGCTCGCGTGGTAAGCGCGCCACTTGCCACTACACCACTTCCGCCCAACTATTAGTGCTTTAAAATATCGATCATAAACCATTTAAACACATGTTGTGCGAAGACAAGGGTTCAGAGAAGAAACAAAATATGCAGTATTCACCTCTATCAAGGAATAATCACAACTACTAACTGACGCTAATAACACCATCACGTACTATGATGGATACAGTGCGGATCTTCGTATTTTCAACCTATTTTCAGATTTTAATATCACTTTCGGTATATCTAATAGATGCCATTTGGAAGTTTTGTTATATTGAAATCTTCATAAAGTTATTAAGGTATCTCAATATTCTGTAGATTAAAAACGGTCATCATCAAATGGCTAAGCTGTTCCGATTCTGTGGTGGGTGTGGTCCGCAGGGACAGAAAGCGATTTTTCCGCTTATCAAAGCTCAAAGTTTTTTTCCGCAAGGGAAACTCCAGGTGCACCATCACTTGTGGACCTGGGATTCTCGCTATGAAAAAAAAATTCGCACCCGGAAAGCATAAGTCTCTTTCTGCCCTTCAGAACCACACCCTTCTATGGTGCCAGGTAACGGAGGAAACACGAAAAATGCACACCGTTTATCATTCTTTCTTTAGAAGCGCCACACATTCGACTTCCATTCATAACAGTAGTAACATGTGTTATAACTGTAGCGTAGTTATATGCGAGTTGACCTAGATAACGAATCGCTGTACCATGTTCACTGGTGCAGTGCTTCTATCTTCCCAGACAAACTTGTATTATATCACGAACGGAACTCCGAGAGAACAATCGTTGTAACCGAAGTCGAGAATTGTGGAAAGCATCACATATTTCTCCACCAACTTGAAAAAAGAAGTTCCTGAGAGTAGGGGTGGAAACATACTCGACGCTTACCGACCCTACTTCAAGACTGTAGCGGTGTATTCGTGATTGCCAACGCTTCGATCGCGCATAGTTCCGGGATTAAACCCTGGATCGTACACACTGCACACATCAGCCGAACTTTCCATCTCTCTGGGATGGTGAATTTAAACCAGATTCGTATGGGAGGACTAAAACACTGACTTGTACGTCGGCTAATCCTCGTAAATCATATCATTGTATGTAGCGTTTGAAAAGCCACTGCGATCCGGAAAGAACTGAAAACGCGTGGCGCATCTCTAAAGGGATGAATTTGTCGCCGATGCTTTATTCTTTTTTACCCCACTTCTCGAAGTGAAAGAAGTGTAGCGATAAAAAACAGTGTGTTGCACATGTAAAGATGTGATCGAATCCCATCCATTCCAACAACGTCAACAGGCATTTATACCACAACACCGTGCTGCAGCAGCGTTAGAGTGATTTAAGGAAAGATTGGCGGATCCATAAGGTGGTATCCGGAACTGTGCCCCTTGGAGCGATGGAGCGATCGCGTCGCTCGGTCGCTAGTCCATCGCGTTGCAAGTCGCCGAGTCTGACCGAGATCTCAACGTTATTCTACGTACTATAATAGTAAGAAAAAAACGCTCATACCCTGCCTACTTGGATACCAAATGATGGTTAATTGAAAACCTAACCCACCCACGCAAATGCCATATATCGAAAAATCATCAAAGAGACAACGGTTTTCTTCTGCAGTTTCAACGAAGGCAGTATAGGAACTAGAAAACAATACAGAGGACTAGCTGTGAGATCTATTTATTGGAAGGATCTACGAATAAATTAAACTCTTTCATTGTGAAGGACGAGGTAATGATTAGACGAGTCGATGTTTAAGTCATCATAGAAAACAAACGAATTTGCACAAGAAAGGTAGGGCGCAACTGAGCCTTATATTTATAGGACGCCCTGATGCGGTGGAAGGGACTCACAGAAACATGTAAACAAGCAGATGATAGCAAACATAAGAGGATGGAGAGATTCTCTATCGTGAAATATTTAAAATTAATTGACTTGATTGCTCTTTTCAAACAACGAAAACTACAATAATGAGCTATAAATAGTTCGGAAAATTTAGCTTTAAATTAGCTAATGAATCATTCAAAGGAAATTGTTGTGAATGTTGACGTTTAACAACTTTTAACTTTTTTAATAACTCAACAAGGTTTGAACCTTTTCTAAAGGAACTTATCGTCACTTTTGTGTCAATCACCAGTGCAGAGGGTTGAGCCTAGTGAAACCTCATTTGAAATTACGCCCTCGTTAAAGTGTAGAGAAAAATAAGATTGCAGCACTCAAAAATTCCCAGGACTAGGAACGACATGATTACTAATAAAAGGAAATGCCCAAGGGAAACCCACGCTGAAAATTCCCCCTGATTTTTAGCAGGAAATAGTTCCCAAACGGATGAAAGTTTACATGAATAGGAGCGAAATCACAGGAACATTTCAAGCACCTACATCGTCCAGCACCAACCACATCGTCGTCTTCGTCCTCGACTACAGGCTTCTGTTCCACCTGGTCAGCCTCAGCGTCCGTCTCGGCATCAGCCTTGACCTCTTCCTCTGGTTCCAATTCAGTATGCTCCGAAATAGCCTCTTCGGCCATTTCATTGCGAAGGTTGAACAGCTCCTTCTCTAGTTCTGCTATTTTGGCATCCCTCTCGGCAATTTCATGAGCATGATCTATAATTTGGTAAAAGTAAATTAGATCTCTTGAGTAAAACCACGGAACTATACTAATTTCATAGAGGCGCTTTATCGAGGTACTCCCGAAGAAAATCTTCCAATGAAGCGGACGGCCTTTAGGTAAGCAATTACAATTGTTAGCAATTACATATCTTAACCGTAAACCTATGATATCAATTGAAGGCGTCTCGTGATGTCGCGGAAGTGGTAGTGGTTTACAGCAAACGGCGCTTCTTACCGCGAGCAGGATATGGGAGCCAATCTGCTTCGGCTAAACAAGCCTTCGAAGAATCCAAATGGGCTGAGTAGTAGAATAAAGAAAACAAAACAGTATCGAAATTGTCTAAGAGGATAAAAACTTATACAACGACATTATGTTGCCGTGGAAATCACTGTATAGGTAAATGTACGATATTGCGTGGAAAGCCAGTACGCGGCGCATCCCGAAAAAAGATTTAGATCCTCCTGCTCGTTTGTTTTGTATCACAATGTTGGCAGCCAACCGCAGAAATTTTGAAATGATGAGGTTTGCTCTTTTTGAATGGATCAAGAATCACCTTTCTTTTCTTTTCTGATGGCGCGAAGAGCTGCATGTGCTAGAGCAAGTCGATTCTCCAGGTGCCCTATTTTTCGTGCATTCTTGTCACATTCCCGCAATTTCTTCACGGCAGCATTCTTTGACTCCAGGAACTGATAAAGTATTTTACTGAAAACATCAACTCTAAGTATGTATAAATAGACAGAATGGTTACAAGAAGGGGTGCTCAAATTTGGCTAACATATAACTGTAATACGAGCATACAGCAATTAAGAATTGCGCTCTACTCATAATACGCCAACTTGTCAAATCCTGCCTCAGGCGTTAGGCAACATTACGAAGTCCACACACCCTACTGGAATGAAGGGGCAGGTGTGGAAATGAGAAACTCTTGAACATCTAAGACATGCCCGGAACTGTAGCTTCAAGGGTGGGGTTCGCTAGAAAGAGAGCGACTTTTCCGTTTTCGCGGGGTTGACGGACTACTTGATTTTTCCTCAATGGTCCTGCCGCGATGGATAGAGCACAGACGATTAGAGAATGCCCTAGGACTAAGCCTTGGAGAGGAGAGGGACCCGCTAGAGAGCGCAGAGGCGGTAAAGGGCTGAGTTCAAGTAGTCCGTCAACCGGAACCCGGATCCACTCCCGATCAGCGTTGGACCCGGGGTTCCCGCAGCGAAAAGAGAAAAAGTCGCTTTCTGCCCTAGCTTGAAAACTCATCAAGGAGGCTGCTATGATGTTTAATACGTCCTAAAAGAAATGTTTATTGGGATATTGGTACGGAACTAAACTTTTGGACTAAAATTTTGGATGAACACATGAGAAAGTTTAAAAAATTCTTGGGGATTAAGTCAAAAAACAAACAAACCAATCTTTGCCACTTTCAAGGGCTTTGACGGATTCCTTCAAAGCGGTGATCTCCTTGTCCTTGCTAGCTATCTTCTCTTTCATAGAAATAAAGGCCTCATAAAAGAATGGATCGAGTAGCTGATCCCTCTGAGTGGGACCCATGCTAACTCCACTATAGTAAGCATCATTGCGCTCCCTCTGAAAACTCAACAATAGGGAATATAGTGTATTTAGGCACATTCTTGGAGCAAACAATTTTGTTGTCCAGATGCCAGCGGATGCCTTAAATTCAACACAACCTCCTCAAAAAGGCAATACATATCTTAATGGAAGAATACATCCAAAAAACGATTCAAAAATTGAACGAGCTAATAATAAAACCCATGAATTTATAGTGAAATCGTCAACAAGATTTGTCAGAACTGTTTCATTCACATTATACTTCATTCGCTGGAGTAACAACGAGCGTTGTTTATTGTGCCTTGCTTAGTTGTCAGACATCGCAGTGTTCCCGTACTGT